GAGGTGTGCAAGTTGATGCAAATTGTGAATTTGGACAAACTTTTCAAGGTGTAAATTGCTTTCACGGTCGTTTCAGGTTTTATTTGTTCAGTTTCGGACAGCTGCTGCAGAAATCATGAGGTGAGATCTGATGGTTTCTTCTCCCTGTGCCAATATTTGGTCACCATGTCAGAGGAATTTCTTAAAATGAAGTGTTTTGTTTTGCTCATCATTCCTTTTGTTGGAAAACAGAGCGTCATTTTTCAGAGTTTCTTTTTATTTTCGTGTTTCCAAATTCAGTGCTGATTTGAATCATTCCAGTGAAGGATTTTTTAACGCGTGTAATTTATTAATGGTTGAAGAGCTTCTATCATCTCAGAATATCGATACAGTGTTTATTTTACAGAAATTTTCAAATCGAAACCCTTTATTTCAAAGTCTCCTGTATATGGAGAGAGTTTAAGAAAGAAAAAAACTGTGCATTCAATAATATTTAGAATTTATTGTAGCTTGATGCGTCAGAAATCCTAATTTCCAGTTTGTGAGAAAATTTTCAAACAATAATGAAAATATGCAGAATAGAAATCAACATACAGTAAATATTTGCGCAAATTGTATGTAGTGATATACTGGTGGAACCTCACAATTTGACCTCTCACAATTTGACTGACCTACAGTTCAACCGTCAAATTTGTTGAGAGGTCACCTCTTAAACCTTGGATGGCAGAGGGTTCTTCTCCATAGTGGGACAGAGTTGGATTATTTTTGTATCCTCCCACATTTTCATAATTTCAAAGGTCAGGAAAACCCTTCCAGGTGGGCTGAGGCAAAGTCAGGATGAATCCAAAAAAAGCCGGTAGACTAAATGAGCATTTTTTTAAATTTCCTGCAAACATTTTCTGTGCCCAGGGAAAAAAAACAGTGGGATTTTTCCCAACTTTGCCCTTAACCCCCTGTTGACATTTTTTTCTTCACCTCTCTGAGTTGCAACAAAATTTTGCAAAAAAAAGTCTGACTTTGCCGCCCAAGGGTTAATTTGACCTCTGGTGTGCAATTCAACCTGTAGAGAGACATGAAATGTCAAATGCCGTGTGGAAAACTTGCCGTTTGACGTTGTCTCACAATTTGACCACTTTGCAATTTGACCTTAGTGCAGCAACAGATAAGGGTCTAATTGCAAGGTACCATGCACATATACCACAGAAATTTTCAAGCATTTAGATTTGGAAACGAAATAATTTGATAATGAGTTTATTGTGGATTCAACATTGTTTAGTTTTTTATTGCAATAATGATCAAACTTTTAAATAGAATTCACTCATTGCTGGAGAAGCCTTCAAACCAAAAATATCCAGATCAGAGAATTTTATTCTTTAAAATTTCAAATCTGTGATTTTGCTACCATATCATAGGAAGAAAGACGATTTTCTGTTGATGCTCCAACAGTCTAACTATCTAAGATATTTGTATTGAGAATTAATTTATCTAGCAAAACTGGTGCCAAAAATTGCTCTGCTTCCGTTTCTCCATGCTGCTTGAAAAATTCTCGAGGATGAGCTTCCAGGAAGTTTGGTAATTGTTCGTTGTCATGTATATGATGATGACGGCCGAGGACATTTATCAACAGCTGGATGAGGAAGAGAAATCTCGAACCTTATATTGCTTCAGTTTCGTTTTTT